AATATATTCTCGTTAAAATCATTTAAGAGAAAAATACAACTAACTAATGAAGACAAGAATCTAAATGGTAAAATATTTGATGGAAAACACGACATAGTGTATTAGTGTTGCCGAATATCTACTAGCGACGAATTGTTGGGTAGATAACAGCAAATTTACTGAAGTAACATTTAATTTAGTTGACGCATAAGCAAAGTTGATTAAGATTGATTAATTAAATCTAGTATAGTTAGACCAACTCACCATCAATATTTTTTGATATGGTCCGCTTTATCTTATGTGCGCATCCATCACAATGCAGTTTAATCTTCATATCCACCGTACTCACCACCGGCTACACAACCACCACATAATAAATATAATACAGTCAACATCATATCGTAATAATAAAATCAAGTAATTGACATATTAAATAAGTTAAAGTCAATGGGCAGAGCCCTAAAATGTACCTCTTTCGGTTTTTTATCCTCGCTCTTCTTTTCTTCTGCTTTCTTTTCAGATTTTTCCTCCGACTTCTTGTCTCCTCCACCGCCACCACCATCCTTCTTCGACTGAGGCGAAACTAGCCCTACCTTCTTTTTTGTCTTGTATTCAACTCTCTCGTGGAGCCATGAGGGATCTACCTTCCCCGTCACTGTCAGTTTGCCGCTTTCCCAGTCTGCCACCACGTTCTCAACACCTTCAAAATTGGACCACAGCACAAAAATGTTATATCCCAGCCACGCTAAAGTCCAATTAACTTTATGATCACCACTAAAATTACAAGAAAAGTTGAAGTTGACACTGATATTAAATTGATGGTGTAACGGTAAATTTTGTTGGAGAATTTGACCGTAAAATGTGGATCTAAAGATAGAGAGAACAGAGAAGCATATAGCCACCAAATATTGTTATACTACTCCTTGATTATCCTTGATTACCTCATGATTTTTCATAGAAAAATACCTAATGTTAATAAAACGCATTAGAAAAGGAACACTTGAAATCAAAGGTAAGACAGTATGTCGTAATTACAAGAGTTCAATTGAAGAAGGGAGTGAAAGTAATCGACTCAACAAACTGTTTTAAAAATAGGATTAATGTAATTGACTCAATTTATTCAGTTAATTTGAATTATGAGTGGAACAATTGGATTATGCAACTCATCTTAGGTTTTAGATTATCTGACTATCTGTTTCTGCTGAAAATGGGACCTGGAATTGATTTCATACTTCACCAATAAAAAATAATTAATTTATAATTTGCCTGCCAAATTCGTACTTCAGCCATTTTTTTTTTCACGGACTCACCTAATCATTGAATTAATAGAACAAATTTTACAAAAAAATAACAATAATAAAAAATAAAAAAATTTATTTCCAGTACCTTCAAAATGACCTACGGAGCGTTTGACTTTCTTCGCACAGCCTTCGCAATGCAAGTCCAGCTTCAACACGACGGTGGTGGAGCCGTCATCTTTCTTTCCGCCACCGCCGTCGGCCGCCTTCTTCTCGCCTTCATTCTTTTTCTCATTTTTCTGAAACAAAACGGAACAAAATCGTAAATGATTGACTAAAATCATCATTTTTCTGTATGCAAACATGCTTATAGGAATTTGAATTAACGATTCCCACGAAAATTAATTAAATTAGGAGAAAATTGAGGAAATAATTACCTTACCCATTCGATGTGATCTTTGAGAAGTAGAAGTTTCTTATGGGATTACTGTATAATTACAACACAATTGGAATGATTTGAAGAAAGAAAATGGAGGCAACCGTTCCCTTATATAGAAATGTAGAGAGAGAATGAATTATGTCAGTGTATGCGTGTGTATGTGTATGCACGTGGATGGCATGGTATGGAATAAAAGGCCGCCGGACTAGACTAAACCGGTTTTACGAGGGACCGGTTTTATATACGTGATAGACCAGCTAACTTTGACCAAGTAAAATGACTGAACTGCCCTCTTTCTATAATCAAAAACTATCAGGTGGGATGATACCAAGTACGGCACATGAACTCAATTTACGAATGTCCAAAACTATAAGGTTCCAAACCAATGCATAATATAATCGGATGAAAGGATTATCAGAATAATACAATGATTTTGACATGTTTTTTCTTAGGATTCTCGATCATTCTAATATAATTTTATTTTTTTAACTACTTTAGTATTTGTTTGTTCGT